TCCAGAAATGTAGAGCAGAGGCTGGCATATAATAAGTGATTCAGCAAATGTTTTGTTTCAGCTTCCAAGGTATTGAACTTGGCACTTAGTTTATGGGCAATGTATCCATAGAGATCCAAAAATTCAAAATCATTTCTCCTAAAGGTACAAAGCTGTCACGGATGCCTGTTCTCTTCAGCCAGATATTGACTTATTACCATTTGGAGATCAAACTGAAATTGGAGAGAGGGTGAGCGATAAATAATTTCATTAAGCAATAAACAAAAATCTAGAAAAGTCTTCTGGTTGTTTTTAATCATTAATAGAGAATCATGAAATTTGAGAGCTTAGGAGCTGTATGTTGTCCAGAGTGACAAGTTCCAGGAAACCAAGGACAGGTGTCATTTGATGCCACTCTTTCTTACATATTAATATTTATTGAGTAATCACCGTATACTTAACATGGTACTAGTCACTTAAGAGTTCTCAAGAAAAAGTGAAGCATAGTTCCTGGCTTTGACCAAATGCATTTTTGCTTACGTGGAGCTTGCTGTAATGGGTTTGAAAACTAAGACTACTTTCGATAACTTCTCCCAATCTTGTTAAACATCTGTTTATTCATATTAAAGTGCTCTTTTCTCTTTGTGTAACCATGTTTTGCATTGATGTCATATTATTCAGACAAACTGAGAACTATTTATACCTATAATCGTTAGAACAACAATGTCTACAATGTTTTAATCGTTGTCAGTCCTGGGCACAAACTTTATATGCATTATCTACTTTCACAACAAATTTGTGTTATAGGTGTTATCATTATCTGCATATGAAGTTGCAAAAATCAAGGCTGAGAGAGGTTAAGGAACTTACACAGTTGCCAAGGTAGTAGTGTAGCCAGGATTAGTCTGGCTCTGTGGCCTTTGTTCTTAATGACTGTTCTTTTTTGCTACATACCGCAGTGTGTATTAGAATGAACTTAAGTTCTGGGAGCCTCAGTTTACACATGTGTAAAATTAAAACAATACCTACATCTTGGAATTGCTATGAAGAATAAGAGAAATTTAAAAATGTAAAGCCATTTACACAAGTCTGGTACATACTAAGAGGTCAATTAATACTAATTTTTTAAAAAAAAATGTGTAAGTGGTACTTTATTATGAAAGCATACTCTTGAGGCTAGTATTGTTTCACATAACTCATAATATCAAATTTGGGTTGTATGTTAAGTAAACTACAGACACAACTCAGGAAACAAGAAAAAATCTTGGAATTGCTTGCATTTCCTAGAAAGTGTTTTGGTTATTAATGCTTCTGTACAGCAGAGATCTCCATTAGAGTGAAAGGAGGATTAACCATATCAGCCTGAAGCCATCTTGATTAATTTGAGAATTGTTGGCCAGTAGACAGTTTTCATGTTTTCTTACCAATATTACTACAATTTAATTAACAAGTTACTATCAATTTAAGATTTTTTAAAAGACATTTATATTTTAAGGTCATATTACCAAGAGATCATTTACTAATATAAAAAAATGGGTATTTGGGGGTGTCTCTTCTTTAGGGCATCAACCTGAGTGGGGGACAGAGGCAGAGAATCTGTGTGGCACGCGCGCTGTATCAAAACACCAACATTGTCTTTTTGGTAAGAATATGGCCTTCCCTTTTATTTCTATTTCATTCTTCCATCTGGACAAACGAATCTTTAAAAAGATAAGACAAGGCTGGGCGCGGTGGCTCACGCCTGTAATCCCAGCACTTTGGGAGGCTGAGGGGGGCGGATCACGAAGTCAGGAGGTCGAGACCATCCTGGCTGACACGGTGAAACCCCGTCTCTACTAAAAATACAAACAATTAGCCGAGTGTGGTGGCGGGCACCTGTAGTCCCAGCTACTTGGGAGGCTGAGGCAGGAGAATGGCGTGAACACAGGAAGCAGAGCTTTCAGTGAGCCGAGATCATGCCACTGCACTCCAGCCTGGGCAATAGAGTGAGACTCCCTCTCAAAATGGTTTAATTTGTGAAATCATAAAGTATATAGAGGAAATAAATCCTTGCAGTACAGATCAGTAGATCAGTAGAAGAGCAACATATCTTGAGAGTTGGGAGGATCCAGATTGGTGTCCACAAGACTGAGATGCCCTAGTGGTTGTTTATCTGCGTTTCTTAACCAGGTGAGGATTTGGATAGTATTGGATGAACGAGGCAGGATCATAAGTCCTCTTATTTATATTTGATGGCAAAGAAAAAAAAGCCAGAAAATATACTCTTGGTAGGCATAGGGCTAAGTAAGCCTAGTACCCCATTCCAGTGCTGTGCAACTCGGGCTGTGGATAAGCTCTATCTGTGATACTCCCTACAACTGTAGAAATCTTGGTTCTGCTCTAGACCTGTGGCATAATCTGTAAAGGTAGAATCTAAAATTTATGTCTTTAAAAACTCCATGAATGATTTTCATGATATCCATCTTGGACTAATAATTTATTTCTACCTGTGGATCTAGAAATACAATTTGATGGTTATGTTGATTACAATTTTGCTCTATTTTGGTCTCTCCAGTAGGAGGGACCTAAAATAGCTTACAAGTAGACAACGGGGAGATGCTGGCAGAGTATGTAAATGCATCCCTGCCTTCTCCTTCTGCACAATTATTAACCACTTATAAATCCGGTTCCCAGAACATGTTTAGAGTCTTCACTCCATCTAATCTCTAGAGCCTCTTCAAAAAGTAAGTTGGTTTTGGAGTTTTCTACTGAATTTGGATCTGTTATTGGGGATGGTAGAAGAATTTGGACATACTAAGTCATCTGCCTAAGAATACCTGTCTCCAAAGTTATTCCCCCAAAAAACCTCAAAACACCATGAAAGTCATTGCAGGATCTAACAATAGCCTATGTAATTGTACTTTTTTGGTTTTCTTTTTTTTTGGAGACGGACTCTTCCTCTGTCGCCCAGGCTGGACTGCAGTGGCACCATCTCAGCTCACTGCAACCTCCACCTTGCAAGTTCAAGTAATTCTCCCACCTTAGCCTCCTGAGTAGCTGGGATTACAGGTGCATGTCACCACACTTGGCTATTTTTTTTTAATTTTTAGTAGAGACGGGGTTTCACCATGTTGGTCAGGCTGGTCTCGAACTCCTGACCCCAAGTGATCTGCCCGCCTTGGCCTCCCAAAGTGCTGGTATTGCAGGTGTGAGCCACCACGCCCAGCCGTAAATACTTTTTACAATAATGGATGGATCCACAACTAGAAATGACTTCTTGAACCTTGGGATCAATTACTGACTGAGCCTGAGGGACTGCCTTGGAAATCTGAAAGGGACTGAGGTCCCCTGGGTGTAGCTTTCTTCCTCAGTTCATTTTACTGCCTGCTGCGATTCAATGACTCCAACTTACTTCAATTCTAGAATCATGGAAATCAAAGAAGTTGTAGGGCTAAATTATTGTCAATTCCTACCCTTTCATTGCAGGATGACTTTTAGCATCAACTCTAACAGCTTCTTGATGACTCTCCCTGAAGATACATTGCTTACCTTTAAGGCAGCTTTTCCTGGTTGGACAATATATAAATTTTCTGTTACTGCTATAAAATATTGCCATAATTGGTGACTTAATCCCTTCTGAGGAAGGGAACAGTCAATATCCTTGCTTTTTCCAGCATTTACAAGCTGCCTACATTCTTTGTCTCATGCCTGCCTTCCTCCACCTTTGAAGCCAGTAACATGATGTCTCTCTGACTATTTTTACATAGTCACGTCTTCCTCTCTTCACAGCGGGGAGAGCTTTCTGCTTTTAAGGATGCATATAGTTAGTTTAAGCCTGTCTGGATAATCTCCTCATCTCAAGGTCTCTAGTCTTAATTACATCTGCAAAATCCTGCTGGACATATAAGGTAACACAGCCACAGGTTCTGGGGATTAGGACCTGGGCATCTTTGGGGTCCATTATTCTTCCTACTACAGACAGCTCTCATTTTTGGAAAGTTATTATGGTATTGAGATCTGCTTCTGAGTACTGTCTGTTCAGCCTGCACTCTACTTCTGCAGCAAAATATATATATTTTATATATATAATATATATTATATATATTTTAATATATATATAAAATATATATATTTTAACATTCTAATATTAGTGTCATAACTTGTCTAAATTTACATTTCTCTAGGCCAAGCAAGCATAGTATTTTCAATTCTTTCACAAATAACATATTTTTGTTTTGTTTTGTTTTGTTTTGTTTTGTTTTTTTGAGGCGGAGTCTGGCTTTCTTAATCCCTGATGTATAGTGTTTATAAGTGTCCCTTTGAAAAAATCTGTGCTAGATGCACACTGATCAGCTTAGATAGCCTTAAAACCATTGGATCTTACGATCTTGGTCTTATTACTCCATTGCAACCTACTGAAAAACATTTTAGCGGCAATGGAATACTGTTGATGTGTTTTAAAAATTTCTCAAAAATAATAATATCTCACACTTCCATTGTTTAAAAATTCACAAGGTACAGTATTATCCCATTTGATTCCCATCACAGTGCTGAGAGAGGGTAGATGGTATCCTCAAGCTAAATGCGGAAACTTATCCAAGGACTGATGGCTAGTGAATTACAGAGTTTGGGCTAGAAATGCATGTCTTTTGAGATTGGCTTTCTAATCAGCAAAGATTCTCTGGTATTTTCTGAAATTATTGCTGTATTTTCCTTTTCTCTCCTTTTTTTTTTTTTACCCTTTCTTCTTTACTCGCTCACTCCCTGTTATCCTTTCTTTATTCCTCCCTCCCTTTCTTCTTTCCTCCTTTCTATCTATTAATATTCAGTGAATATCCCCAATGCCATCTGTTGTGCTGGCTAAAGAAAATAGAATTGAGAAAAAGGCATTACTTATATCGTTAAGAATTTTACTTGTACATGTCACTTGAATAGTTTCACATTTTGCTGTAAATAAACTTTTATCATGTTAGCCTTGACGCAGCATACAAGTTAGATGAAAATGTCTTAATTATGTATCAAAAATATTATTTTTGGAAACTTCATTGTGCAAGTGTGCTGTATCAATGAATATATTAAATTATTTCCAAAAATACATCCGTACAAAGAATATACTATTTAAGCACATTTATTGAATATAAAAGAGAATGTATTAATGAAAACTGTACATATGTATATTAGAATAAATAATATAAGCTTGAGAACAAAGAATTGACCATTCATTGAATTGGCCATTTGGCAAATTATCTTGCTTTCTTTAAAGGAAGTATTTCCCCATAATCTTATTTTATACATTGAATCTGGAGACGTGATTCTCAAGCCATTAAGCCTCAACTTTTGTTAAGTTGTATAAAAGGTTGTATTTGACAGAAAACACTATGAATCCCCACCATGTGGGGCATGACATATAAATGATATGGCATATAAATGATAGTTCTGTGACCTAGGCATGATTCTAAGTACTTTATACACATTAGCTCACTTAATTCTCATAATAACTCTCTTAGGTTTGACGTTGTTGTTGTTATTACTATTGTTATTGTTACTACTGCTATTCACAGATGAACGTACTGAGGCTTTGGGGGATAACTTATCCAACATCACACAGATAGTAACAGTGAAGCAGGGATAGAAAGTCAGGTGGCCGGATTCCAGAGCTTGTGTTCTCAGTCACCACACTCTTCCTTATTAAGAGATGCTTGGAAGACGCTAAGCTCTCACTGTGATACATTGAAGGGGTAAGCACAATATTAATCCACCATGGCTTTATTTATAAGAAAATAATAATAAAACAACACTTTTGAAATGATTTACAGACTTTTACTACATTATTTTGTTGCATCTTTGCAGCAATCCAAGGTGCTTTCTGTCAGGCCTCTTTATTATCCCCATTTTACAAAAGAAGTGACTGAGTTTGAAACATTGGCCAGCCTCCAAGAGTGGTCATAACTACAATGTGGACCTTTTAATTTAGAGATAATATACTTTCAATTATGCCCTACTAACTTCTAATATGTAAAATCAGAATTTAGGCTAGGTGCGGTGGCTCATGCCTGTAATCCTAGCACTTTGGGAGGCTGAGGCAGGCAGATCAGTTGAGATCAGGAGTTCGAAACCAGCCTGGCCAACATGATGAAACCCCATCTCTACTAAAAATACAAAAAAATTAGCCAGGCATGGTGGCATGTTCCTGTAATCCCAGTAAGTTGGGAAACTGAGGCAGTTTCCCTCTGTTTCCCAACTTACTGGGAAGCATTGCTTGAACCCAGGAGGCAGAGGTTGCAGTGAGCCAAGATAATGCCATTGCACTCCAACCTGGGTGACAGAGCGAGACTCCGTCTCAAAATAAATAAATAAATAAATAAATAAATAAATCAGAATTTTGTGGACAGTCACATTGCGTTATTACAAAAATTTATTTTTAATTCATGTCTTATTTTTACTGTGAAAAATTCCCAGGAAGAATCATTTGGGATAGTTTGGTCTACATCACAGATTATTCTTGGAGTTTTAATGGAATCAGAAGCAGAAAGTTATTTCAAAGGCAATCAGATTCCTCCTGTGAAAATCATCTGCTTTCCTAAAACCAATAATTTGCTGATATCAAGATTTGCTAAATCTTGATAATTATATCCTTGCTGCATTGTTGGTGATGGAAATGGAGACACTTTTGTCAGTGTAATCTTGATATTTTTCCATTGCTGTGGAGATATCACTTTCTATTGGTACTTTGACTTTCATTTTTAAGTAATTGCAAAGTTACATTATAACACCTATGTTTAAAAATTTTTATGTATTAGTGGTAGAATTTTCTATCAGTTATCAAAATCTAATAATTTTAAAATTCAAGTAAGAATATTTTTTTCTTGTTATTAAAGGAGCTAAATGACAAATAAGGAGCTAGTGTCTGTGATGATTTTGAAAAGCAACTCACTGGGCAGTTGAAAGCCAGTTCCTATACAAAGTACTTATTGTAACATTTCAGAAATAATTGATGTACATTAAGATGATCCAGAGGGTCTGAAAGATTTGAAATATTTCCCATGTCATCCAAAGAAATTTCAGGACAATCAAGATAATTGTGTTTTTTCTATAAAAGTCATTTGAGGACACTGATTATATCACCCATTTATTCACAATTATAATATCCAGCAGACTGATTTTTTAAAGGCTCTTATAATTCTTAATCACCCTTTAACTATCAAAATGCTTTGTTAATATTTCTTTTGTATGAGGCTTCTCCTAAATCCTTTAATAAGGTCACATTGCTTATAGTTTCTAGCTATACAGACAAATTGATGGAAAGTTGAAAAATTACTGAGCTAATCATATGACAACCTATCATGATTATACATAAATGTATTCTAACTTCCAAACTTCAGTTTCTATCTAAATAGAAATTACTTTGTTTTTCATTATTCAGATTATTAAGCAATGCGATCTATCTGTAGAGAGACTGTGATTGTGCTCAATTGAAAATTTTGCAGGATTGTAATTTCTAAATATCTCAACATGTAGCCTGCGGGTAGTAGCATGAGAAACCAGCTACTTCTTTCTTGGGCCCATAAGAGAAAGGAGAAGTTTATTTGCATATTACATATTGGAGAAGCAACAAAGAAAGAAGGGTAATGAAGAAGACATTTATGAACTTTTTTTCCCACTGTTCTGATAACTCTTCCCAGTTCTTTACCTGAAACCTCCACCATTCTTTACTGCTTTATCCCTTCAGTGCTCCCTCAGTTTCCTTCATTCCTTGCCATCCCTGGTCCTTATAAGGGGTGATTATATTTCTGTTGCAGCCTCCTCCCTTCAGGTCACTTTGCTTTCTAATTCATAGTTTTGAGGATACATTCCAGTTTTCTTCAGTTGTTTCTAGCTGTCCTCTTTTAAAGATCCAAAAAGGTGAAACATGTAGTTTGATGCTCTATATAACATTTTAGGAATGAACTATATATGAAAATAATTTATAGTGATATCATCAACAAAAAAAGAAAATTAATGTAATTTCTTAAATTATTTTCTAAATATCTAATCACTTGGTGGATGAAAACATTCTCCCTAGAACAATTGTCGTCAGGTAAGTGTTAGGCATGCTATTCTTATATATAATAATAATAGCTAACAATGTCAATTATATACCCAGTACCATACTAAGCATTTCGTGTATATTACCTCATTTAATTCTGAAAATATCCCCATTAAGTAAGCCCTGTTGTGATCCAGTTAACATTTTCTTTTTTCTTTCTTTTGAGACAGAGTCTCGTTCTGTCACCAGGCTGGAGTGCAGTGGCGCAATCTCGGCTCACTGCAACCTCTTTCTCCTGAGTTCAGTGGATTCTCCGGTCTCAACCTCCCAAGTAGCTGGGATTACAAGCCCACGCCACCATGCCCGGCTAATTTTTGTGTTTTTAGTGGAGACAGGGCTTCACCATGTTGGCCGGGCTGTTCTCAAACTCCGGACCTCAGGTGATCTGCCTGCCTTCGCCTCCCAAAGTGCTGGGATTAGAGGCATGAGCCACTGTGCCCAGCCCAATTAACATTTTCTATACCTATTTTTATTATCTAGAATTCAAGTACTATTATCTTTTCATTCTTTGTTTTGCTCTATTATTATAGATTGCTGAGTAATACAGTTTTTAACTTGCAGATTCAATAAGAATTCAAAACATTTTGAATAGTGTTATTTACTTTTAAAATAATTATACAAAGTCTGTTTTGCTTTTCACCTGCAGGCACTTCTAACTTTATTTCATTGTTGGTTTGTTTTTCTCCTGCCTCTTTTTTGTTTTATTTTAATTTTTATTTTAGGTTGAGAGGTACATGTGCAGGTTTGATATACAAACTGTGTGTATGGGGGTTTGGTGTACCGATTATTTTGTCACCCAGGTAATAAGCATGGTACCTGACAGGTAGTTTTTCGTTATCTTTTTTTAAATAAATAAGATCCGGGGGGTGATTTGCCCTTAGTTATTTGTATTACTACTTTCGAGAGGAATTGAGTTATGTAAAAAGTATAGAAAACGTCCACCTTTCCTTCATTTTACTGGTTGCAGGATGATCCATTCTCAGCCCTGGACATTCACTTGAGTGATCACCTAATGCAGGAGGGAATTTTGAAATTCCTGCAAGATGACAAAAGGACACTCGTTCTTGTGACTCACAAATTACAGTATCTGACGCACGCTGACTGGGTAAGAGTTTAGAAGAGAATTTTGCTCATTTTTATATTATAGTCATATAAATGAATAGAGAGAGTAAAAAATGCTTTCTGAAATAAAAGTAATTAAATCATTTTGCCAATCAAGGCTTTTTGTCACATTTCTGGGAATATCCGCTTTCCTTAGATCATAGCCATGAAAGATGGAAGTGTCCTAAGAGAAGGAACTTTGAAGGACATTCAAACCAAAGATGTTGAGCTTTATGAACACTGGAAAACACTTATGAATCGGCAAGATCAAGAATTAGAAAAGGTAAGTGCTCATAGTTCAGAAGAGTTCAGAGTCCAATTCAGAAGAGTTAGAAATTTACTAAGCATGACTAAGAATGCTGTTTTTAAAATTACCATTTAATGCTTGGTAATATACTGGTCTTTATCTGAAATCCAAAGCAATTGTATCTTTACATATTATTGATGAACAGGCTACTTTGAACCTATGAAATTCTAATGCTATCTTTGGATGAGGCGCTGTCAGGTTTTGAGAGAGTGTTTGAATTTCAACTATAGTGCAATTATATGTGTGTTTAAAACTTAGACAAACTACTTACTGAAGCACGGCATTTCCTTATTTTTGCTTCTTTTTATCTCATTTTTCTCATCTGTAAAATTAGAACTATTTTCACTAACCACTTACAAATAGAGGGTCATGGGAAAGTCAAAAGCCAAGGTGATCTGGAAGGAAGAGCTCTGAGTAGTGGGCAAAGTTGTAAGGCATGTCTGGGATAAGGCTTCTGGGGTGAAAGAAGGTAATCAGAAGGAAATAAAAATAAAATTTGACATTTGTATGTTTTTTTTAAAGTCCAGAAGCCCTTTTTACATGATCTGTTTTAATTCTCACCAACTCCTGACAAATAAGCAAAGAAAATATTACCTTACTTAGACAGATGAGAAAGCTGAGGCTCAGAGAAGTTAAGTAACTTGCCTAAAGTTGTACAGCGTATATAATAAGTGGTACCAATGGGATTTAAACATAAGTGTGTATCCGGTGTAATTGCACCATAATGTTATGGATGATGTAAGTATAACATGGAATGAGGTGATCACAGAGTTGGATACCAGATTGAGTACAACAAAAGAGGAAACACTTTTGATCAACAAGTGAAATTGTAAATTAAATTTGCAAATTTTTGAAATGTTTTGCTCTTGATTTGGGAGTACAAAGTGTCCAGCACTTAGTATTCTTAGCCAGGAATGAGCATTTACAAAATGAAATATTTGTACCAGTGAATTTCTTTAAAATATTAGGAAATTTAAACATACTATTTTAGAAAAGAAAATAAAGGATCTGTCTCCATAGAGTGAGGAAGATACAAAGTCAGATAAATCCTAGAATTTCTCTACCTTCTTTGGATTTGCTAAAGCTCTCAAAAGCAAACCACACAAAGAAGAAAAGATATATGCAAAAATATAAAGGCAGAACAGGACAAATCACAGAATCATTGAAATGAGGATGTTTGGGGGGGGAAAAAAAGCAATAAACCAACAAAAACCTCCAAAACATTATGAGGTACAGTCGACAAGTGCCCGCTTAGCAATTGTGCTATGGGAAGCTTAATTCTAAACGTACCGGGGATAACTCCAAATGACATTTTTTTCAGCGATCTAAATGCCAGGGACAAAAGAAGATGACGTAAACTTAAGGAGTGGGACAATTTATGGTTTACTTTGGAAAGAACAGCTGGAAAATAAAGAGAGCTGTTGGCTCAATATTATAGTAATACTGTTAAGCAAGCCAGGAAGAAAGTCCATTAAGTTGTATTTAGAAATGAAGTGATCACTTGAGATAGCATAGCTGTATAATTAAAGACACATTACAGGGTTATGTATGAACTGAAGGAGGTAAGGAGCAAGTTAGGGTATGGACAGGGTAAATCCAGTTACGAGGTAGAATGGCAGCCCGTAGAAGCCGGAATGAATCACGCACCTGCCCAGAATCCTTATCTCAGGATGGAGGGAGATTACTGCCACATAGCAAAAGGCAGGCACCTGAATTCATCTGCAACCAGAGAGAATCACACTGCGAACAAGACCACTACAATACCTTGGGGAAGTTTTTGTACAAACAGCTTTCTGTTTAGTTGTTATAGGACAGGACAGGGTGTTTTCTATCAACCTGGGCCAATTTTGCCTCCTAGAGGACATTTGGCAATATTTGGAGACATTTTTGGTTGTCACAACTTGGGGGAGTAAGGGGGAAGGGGGCGGGGATGCTATTAGCATCTAGTGTGCTCAACATTCTGCAATGCTCAGGGCAGACCCCTCAACAATGAGTTGTCCAGCTCAAGCAAGTGGAGAAGGAAGGTGAAACCGAAGGATGCACAAAATTTCCTAGTGCAGTGCTTGAAAAAGAGCTGTCAGTTTAAGGATTAAGGGGTAAACGGGAAAGAATATAACGAAAAGATAATAATGAAAACTACAAAGGAGAGGAAGTTAACACTTTTAGCTGATTTAAATATAGCTTAAATGACATGAACCATTATCTTCTTAATGCTGTTAAGCAGAATAAACTGGTATTATTTAACACTCCTTTAACACTCCTCACTTTCCTCTCTACTGTCCTCACCTGGCCTGGCCCAGTGAATATTTAGTGGATAGATGAAACTAAATTTTTATTTACTTAGTCCAAGTATCAACACTATTTAAAACATTTAACCTGGCTGGGCACGGTGGCTCATACCTGTAATCCCAGCACTTTGGGAAGCCGAGGCGGGAGGATCACGAGGTCAGGAAATCAAGACCATCCTGGCTAACACAGTGAAACCCCGTCTCTACTAAAAATACAAAAAATTAGCCGGGCGTGGTGGCGGATGCCTGTAGTCCCAGCTACTTGGGATGGCGGGCGCCTGTAGTCCCAGCTACTCGGGAGGCTGAGGCAGGAGAATGGCGTTAAGTAAACCCGGGAGGCGGAGCTTGCAGTGAGCCTAGATTGCGCCACTACACTCTAGCCTGGGCGACAGAGCGCGACTCCGTTTCAAAAAAGAAAACAAAAACAAAAACAAACAAACAAAGCAAAAAACAAACCAAAACAAAAACAAAAAAAATTTAACCTATAATGAGCTTAATATGAACATTTACTCTTAGGAAAAAATGCTTTAAAGTTTGTTTGGGCTTTTCGTCTGTTTGTTTATTTGTTTTTTTAATGTCTCCAAGATCTTAAACCTTTTGGTCACAGCATGGGGAATCGAACTGGAATCAAATCTACTTTTCAATATGAAGGTTTATTTTGTTTCATTATATGATATGCACAAGTCAGGGATCCTCTTTAATTTTGTGTTTAATTTAGCTTCATTTATAAATGTTGGTCTTCGTATCATTATGCAAAATTTAAAACTGGGGTCAAACTGTCTCTTTAAAAATGGGATTCTGGAGACATTTTTGTTTTCACTCTTTTAACCAAAAATCTGAAGTAGTAGAACCCTCTAGAATAGCAAGTTTCCTAAATTAGACATGTTGTATGAGGCCAAAAAAAAATCAACCAAGGTCATTACCTAGCAAATGATCACAAAAGATTTATTGGTTTATTGATGTAACAGCAAAACTGCGTAATTTTTTTTTCTTTGTGTTGGCATATACAGGAAGCTCCCAATTTACCATAGATTCCAAAAGTTTATGGGTTAGTTGTTTGGAATTCAGAATGCATTTCCCCACAGAAAAGGGGAAATGGTTGGTTTTCCAGAATAGCCGGTAGAACCTGATTTAACCCACAATGTAACTGAACTGGTACTACTACCGCAGTCCTGAGGTCGGGGGAGCTGGTGTGTTGGAAGCCAGGGCATGGAGAAAATGAAATGATTCTCCCCTTCTTAACTACGGGATAAAGTTCACAGCAATTCTTTAAAATCTGCAAAGTTTGTTTTTGGCACATTTCCCTTCTCTTTCTGCATATTTTCTCCTCCTAGACCTTTCTCTTACACTGCTAGGCACCTAGAATCCTCATTGCCTATATTCTTCAAATTTCTCTACCTTCTTTCAGATCCTATTGAATTCCTATTCTTTTGTGCAGCTCCCTTAGTAAGATGCTAAAGAAACTCATTCTGATTTAATAATTCACAATAGTGGATGGCTGACAGCAGTTTAACCAACTTGGAACCATGTAGTCTTTTGAAGGAAGATATGTATTAACATGAATGAATCCTTAGTTAGAAAAATTACAAGGATAGTCCGAAGGTGATGTAAAAATAAGTAGCAGTGGTAGAACTATGCTTTAGGGCTCAGGGAGATACCACCCTGCTTCTGGAGTCAGTTGCATCTCATTCTTGCTTTTCCTGGCCTCGTGTGCTGCCCCACAGCCTTGGGCACTGCAGCACTTCCTGCAAGTCTAAGGCTCTGCCCCCACAGCTGCTTCTGTAACAGGAGTTGTGGATCTCCAGAGTGAGCACAGAACCCCTGAGACTGGTAAAGGTAACTAACCATTTACACATGTGAGTCATTCATTGATGAGTCACAACCTACTGGTGTTAGCTCCTTGCATGATAGTATAATGTTTACTGTAGGATATGGAAGCTGATCAAACTACTTTAGAGAGGAAAACTCTCCGAAGGGCCATGTATTCAAGAGAAGCCAAAGCCCAAATGGAGGACGAAGATGAAGGTAGATCTTTTTACTTTTATCTGGAACATTCTAACGGGGTAACAGTATGTGAGCATTTTTTAATGTGTGAGTGTCTCCATGAGGAATAATAAGCCCGTTTGCAAGGGAAAAAGTTAAATCAAATAATACCGAAAATGGAAACAATAGGAGTCAAGGAAAGGTGGATGTAATCCATCAACAGTCATCTTGAGGGGCTCCACAGAATGTGTCTTACTACAGTTGTTATGTCTGAGAAAGACTTGAAAGGAAATGGCAGTGGATTGTAAATAGATCTAGACGTTTGTTCAGAAAAATTGAAATTGTCTAGTATGATGACCAAATCTACTTAAGAAAATTTTAATCCTTCAGAAATAAGTAATAAAGGGGAAATATGGCATTTTGAAGTAGCTATATTTGATTCATTCAGTTCATCTTCGTGAGGTTTTCATGACAATATAGCCATGAAGGATAACAAAATTAGAATGCCATTTGTTATGTTTCAGTTTTCTGGATCTGATAAGGTACACTGGGGAAAAAAGATTGACTGGAAATGTGAGGAATGAGATGAAATAATTACACTGCTTTGACATTCATTGCCAAGAACGTTGTGAGATAAACCACCTTTTAAGTCAATAGAATAAATGCATTATGCCCCATTTCCCTTTGTAATTTTTGCTTATGCCTGCATTTCTACCAACCAATTAAAAAAACGGAGAAAATGTTCATTTCAAGCCAAATAGCACCAAAATGTGCTACTTTTGTATTTCTGTGTTTCAACAAATATTCATTGAGTGAATGAATTAATGAATGAAGGCTAAATTTACTTTCAATTTCTATGATTAAAAATGTTCTTAAAGAATTTTTGGTGCTGTAAACAGACATCAGCTTCTAGAATTCTAAACAAATTATTTCTAATGTGCTACAAGAGTGGAGTTGTACCCAATTACTCTGTTCAGTGTTTCAGTGGGGATGCTAACTGTGCCCTTGGCTTGCTGTGTTAATGCACACCCTCAGGTATAAAATAAGGTAATAGCGCTTTGCTTATACGGTAAAGGAAGTAATGTATGTGGAAGAGCCAATTACGGTACATCTTACTTATTAGTTTCTTGCTCTAGGTCCTATCAGAATGCTCAAGCCAACAGTAGGGGAAGAAAAGAAGTAGAGGATACTTTCTTTCTCTTAAGAGACTTGGAGTTGCACATATTGTTTCTGCTTGATTACTATTGACTCGGTCATTGGTTGGAAAGATTAAATACTAGGAATGTGAGGAAATGCTGTCTTTAGCTGGGCAGCCATGGGTAACTTTAAATTTCAATCAATATAGAAGCAAAGAATGGGTATTGGGGAGACAGGAAGCAAAGTGTAAGTGTCCACCTCTTTGATCATGCAAATTTCTAGTCTGTTCTTCTCACACAAAGGACACACCCTGCCAAAGGGGAGACCATCTGAGACATAGTCATTTACTGCATCCAGCTCAAATATCAGGATCTTTGGTGATGCTCAGTCTCCTCATCATAAACATATTTGGATCTCTGTGGTCTAATAACCTAAAAAGTAAAGACAAGTCCTTCCTCCCCACAACGTGACATGTATATGGTATAGCAGTGAAGTACATACGGGATAACTTTAATGAATAAAGTTCCTCTGGAAAAGCAAAGGATGGGAAGCACAGTCACTGGACCATAGAAATCATTACATTTTGATTGTCGGGAAATGCAAAACCTGCTTTAGCAGTGGAGTCATCCTTAAGGAAACCCATCTTGGAGTTTCTAGATGGTTTAAACATCTGAGAGGAATTCCCAGACCATTATCCTTTGTGTTCCCTGGCTTTGCCCACTGTAAGGTTCCTCCCTGGGGCCATAAAGTAGGCATGGAGTGTGCCCTCTTGTGCTATGCACAGATTTCAGAGCCTATTCCCTCCTGGTGCAGCTTTATAAATTCAGAAATTTGCAGGTCAAAATATTGTAGATGTTTGTAAGCCAGGTATGTGGTTTTTGTTGGCAACACAATTCCTTCAATAACTTAGTAAGTTTCTTCCAATTTGATGTGCAGTATATCAGCAAATAGTCTCATCCAGACATAGATTTTATGTTTGTTACTCATTCATTCACTCATTTTTCACCTATTTTCAGAAAGAAATGAGGTTTGCCCTGCTAAAAGCATTTAAAACTTCATTACTAATGCTTACATTTTTATAAATGTATAATGCCTACATTTTTATAAATGTATGGAAAAGTTCCCTTTCCAGAGGAACTTTATTCATTAAAGTTATCCTGTATGTACTTCACTGCTATACTATATACATATCAGGTTATGGGGAGGAAGGGCTTGTCTTTACTTTTTAGGTTATTAGACCACAGGGATCCAAATATGTTTATGCATGAATGTTTATATACTATTTGTGGAGCAATAAAAATTATATCCATCTGGTGCCCATCTGAAGCTTAAACAAAAGTTTTTGTATGTAGAGGAAGAAGAGGAGGAAGATGAGGATGATAACATGTCCACCGTAATGAGGCTCAGGACTAAAATGCCATGGAAAACCTGCTGGCGCTACCTGACATCTGGAGGATTCTTCCTGCTCATCCTGATGATTTTCTCTAAGCTTTTGAAGCATTCAGTCATTGTAGCTATAGACTATTGGCTGGCCACATGGACATCGGAGTACAGTATAAACAATACTGGAAAAGCTGATCAGGTACAATTAGTTTGGTTTTGTTTTTAAATCATCAAGGAAATATTGAGATTAACAGTGATACCTTCTTATCTAGTTAGATGCTTATATCCCAAATGCCATAGGACTTCTGTGATAATTTAATAAGTTAATACTTACAACAGGACCTGAAATAGAACAAACTATCAAACATGTTAAAACAGAAGGTATTATTAATACTTTTAAAGTTTATCATATGAAATATTTAAATATAATGCTTAGACTTATATTCAAGGGAGTTATATGCCTATATTTTTATGTATTTTATACATATATACGCACAAACCTAGGACCTTTTTGTATTTGTTCTTATGGTATTTGATGTTAACTACCTACATCAGTGCATTAGCCGGTCATTTTGAGACTAGGAATGAGAAAAGTGAGCTCTACAACATAGAAAGCCAAGAATATGCCCCAAACCTGAAAACAAACTCTTTCTCTTCATCTGCTTTTAAGCAAGCCCTGAAAGAGAGTGAAAGGAGCAGGTGGAGGGACACTACCCTGGGCCTCAAAAAATTGCATTCCTTCAACCGTCTAAATGCATGCAAAATGATGAAGTCAACAATCTTGTCTGATATTGACATTTGGTTTTCTAGTAAGAAAGAACTCCAGGCCGGGCACAGTGGCTCATGCCTGCAATCCCAGCACTTTGGGAGGCGAAGGTGGGCAGATCACCTGAGGCTGGGAATTCGAGACCAGCCTGACCAACATGGAGAAACCCTGTCTCTACTGAAAATATAAAATTAGCCGGGTATAGTGGCGCATGCCTGTAATCCCAGCTACCAGGGAAGCTGTGGCAGGAGAATCGCTTGAACCCAGGAGGTGGAGGTTGCGGTGAGCCGAGATCATGCCATTGCACTCCAGCCTGGGCAACAAGAGCAAAACTCCATAAAAAAAAAGAAAAAGGAAGAAAGAAAGAAGGAAGGAAGGAAG